TTCAATAGTGAAAAGCTGTGGTATATAGTACAAAAAGTGTCAGATACTTACTACCCTATTACTAGAATATGGACAACCACTCAGGCTGTTATTAGTATTCGACATCCCAATGATTTAGAGGTTTGACTTAATCAAGAAGCTGTATTATTGTACTAAAATACCATTGCATATAGTATTCTTTTATTTTAGATTTTATTTCCGAGTCACAAGGTTATCGAGAAAGGTTGGATATACAAATATCTTCATCCTTGGTTAAAAACAGGGCTGTTAACAAGTGGAGGTAAAACTACTAAGTGTAACGAACGTATGATTCATAATTACTGCAGTTTTTAAATTGGAAGCTTAGGTGAAAAATGGCGACAACGACGGAAAATTTTAACACCGGCATTTCATTTTAATATTTTGAAAAAATACATGGATATTACCGAAGAACAAGGTGAAAGTCTCATTAGGTATCTACAAACAGACGGAAAAGAATCAGTGCAATCTCTTGTGCCATTTTGTTCAAGATTTACTTTGAATATTATTTGTGGTGAGTCATTGATATTTATCAAAAAAATAAACTTATTCAAAACCTTGTCACTTAAATAATTTCTGAATATCCATAGAGGCCGCACTGGGTGTTGCTTTAGATAAGTTGGATCCTAAAATTATGGAAGATTATAAAAAGGCTATTTATAAGCTGGGCAGCATAGCAGTGTACAGGTAAAAAAAAAATTTTAAAAGTATCTGTTGGCTTTATTCGTAATACCGTTTTAACAAAATGTATTTCTACTCAAAGAATACCACGACCCTACATACATGACTGGATGTTAAAATTATTTCCTTTTTTGAGAATCAGCCGTGAACAAAGACAAGCACTAGGTGTTCTTCACAATTTTACAGATAAGGTTGGATTGTAAAAGAGTTGTTTCTCTGATATTTTTCCATTTTCTATAATACTATAGCTACGAACTTCACTTTTAATTTTTTTTCCTACTAAGATAAATTTTGCAGACAGCTTTCAACTGCAAAAGATGCTGCTGTGTGCTTTTCTAAATTATTATTTTTTTTTTTCATAGAACTAAAATTACTCATGCTAGAATGTTTACTTAGAGATTACCTCTTATCTTAAAGCACAGCAAAGGCATTTGCATTTAAAGTCTGTGAAACTAATGATTTCATAAAATGTAATTCATGAAAATTGATAGATTGTTCAAGAGCGACGAGAGTACCACAACCGTACTGGTGGCAAATATTTAGAAGAACTCAATGACGAAGATGACGAAACAGTTAGTGACATATACATGCGTAATTAATTTTCAAATTGCTAAGATTGAGTAAAATTAGCTTCATTTTTACAACCATCATCGAAACTTTATTGCAGGTGGCAAAAAAAGGTTAGCAATGCTTGATCTTTTATTACTATCAGAGCGAAATGGTTTAATTGATGATGCAGGAATCAAAGAAGAAGTTGACACTTTTACATTTGAAGTAACATTTGAATCATACATGCAGATTGTACATTATAAATCATATTATAATGATTCAACCTTTTTTTCATATACATCAACAATCGATCAACTGGAAACGTCAAATTAAAAAATTAGGGCCATGACACCACAGCAATGGCAATGATGTTTATTTTAATGTTGATGGCTGAAAATCAAGAATGTCAGGTAAAAAATATGGTGATGATACATATTGTTATACAAATGCATGTAAATGAAGTTATATAACAATAAGCATACAATCATTAGAAACCTGTCTCCTGCAGCTTTATTATTATTTTATTTTACTTGTACGGCCTTGTAATAAAAAAGTCGGATGTTTATTTGCATAACTAGTAACTTTCAGATCTCCTTATTTGAAAGAATGTTTATGGACCGGGAGTATCAAGTTTTTAGTTTTTTGCTAAAAAAATCGTTGAGCAAGTATAAGTCACTTGTTATGAGATAGCTTTTAAAGATATTCTTACTCCAAAAACAGTAGATGAAAATGACGAAGATTGTGCTGGGAGTTGAGAAACACCAGTCATGTTCCAAACTTCGCAGGCGTGTGTATTTAATGTGAATCGAAAATTCTAGAGTTTGATCTTCGTCAATTTTTAGACAGAGTTTTAAGCGTATCAAAGTGTAAAGTTACAAAGATGACTAATATCTTGTTACTGATCCTGTTTGGAGTGCTTCTATTCCATTGCTTTGTTCGATTTGGTAGAAGAGGAAGGATAGCCAAGAAAATTCATGGACCTTTTTCTTTTCCAATAATTGGGAATATGCTATCCTTTGATATTTCCTCACCAAGTGAGTTTTCAAACTAAAACATTAAGTTTATAATTTGGTGATAATCACACATCCTTTGACAACACTTTAAACATTCGAATATTCAAGAAATAATCGTAAATTACTCACCTAAGGAGAAAAAAATTAAATTATGAACTGAGGTTTTCTTTGTTTCCTCCTGTGGATTTAATAGCATTTTTTACTAATCCTAAGCTGAGAGACGGAATTTTCATCCCGTGATGCGAGAGAAAAAATCCTTCTTTCGGCGCATTATGGTGAAAAAACTATGACATAATGACTAAACTGTGTGAAGTTTAGTATTTAGTCTTTTTATATATTCACCTAATCTAACTTTTACTATACTCAAAAATTGCTTGTTTAGGGCTATAAGTTTATAAAAAAAACAAAGTATTGTTAACTGAAGTAGTTTATTTGTTACTCAATCAGTCATAAGTACCGATGATAGTCATACTTGGTCATTTAAAATTTTTTATATTTGTTTTAGTTGAAAGTATTATACATTAACGAGTTGTTATTTAATAAGCCATACATTAACTTACGATTAAAAATCATTTTTTTTCATAACAATAGTATTTGTAAGTTGCCGGTAATCAGTGCTTTAACCTCAATTTGAAGATTTTTTTTTTACAATTCAAAATTTAAAACTGTTTTGATAAAGTTAAATCTAAATCTACGTGTTATTTATTTTGCATACGCGAACGGCTTAAGATAAAACTTATATCAGTAAAATAATTATTCTTTCCAAATGGTCAAGAAGACTGATTTTACGTTTCTTATCGTTATCGGTGAGTTCTTTTTATGTGAAAGCAAAATTTATACTCTAATTAAATAGATAATTATAAAAAATGACTACATATTATTGACTGTGTCCAAAAATTGTACGATTATAAAAATCAAGGGGCTTAAAATTTATTACAAATTATTCAAAAAGCATTTGTAGATGCAAGCATTTTAATAACCTTATTCGACAGAACTTGGTATTTTCGATTAAAATTGTTTTAGAAAAGCTGTGGTATATAGTACAAAAAGTGTCAGATACTTACTACCCTATTACTAGAATATGGACAACCACTCAGGCTGTTATTAGTATTCGACATCCCAATGATTTAGAGGTTTGACTTAATCAAGAAGCTGTATTATTGTACTAAAATACCATTGCATATAGTATTCTTTTATTTTAGATTTTATTTCCGAGTCACAAGGTTATCGAGAAAGGTTGGATATACAAATATCTTCATCCTTGGTTAAAAACAGGGCTGTTAACAAGTGGAGGTAAAACTACTAAGTGTAACGAACGTATGATTCATAATTACTGCAGTTTTTAAATTGGAAGCTTAGGTGAAAAATGGCGACAACGACGGAAAATTTTAACACCGGCATTTCATTTTAATATTTTGAAAAAATACATGGATATTACCGAAGAACAAGGTGAAAGTCTCATTAGGTATCTACAAACAGACGGAAAAGAATCAGTGCAATCTCTTGTGCCATTTTGTTCAAGATTTACTTTGAATATTATTTGTGGTGAGTCATTGATATTTATCAAAAAAATAAACTTATTCAAAACCTTGTCACTTAAATAATTTCTGAATATCCATAGAGGCCGCACTGGGTGTTGCTTTAGATAAGTTGGATCCTAAAATTATGGAAGATTATAAAAAGGCTATTTATAAGCTGGGCAGCATAGCAGTGTACAGGTAAAAAAAAAATTTTAAAAGTATCTGTTGGCTTTATTCGTAATACCGTTTTAACAAAATGTATTTCTACTCAAAGAATACCACGACCCTACATACATGACTGGATGTTAAAATTATTTCCTTTTTTGAGAATCAGCCGTGAACAAAGACAAGCACTAGGTGTTCTTCACAATTTTACAGATAAGGTTGGATTGTAAAAGAGTTGTTTCTCTGATATTTTTCCATTTTCTATAATACTATAGCTACGAACTTCACTTTTAATTTTTTTTCCTACTAAGATAAATTTTGCAGACAGCTTTCAACTGCAAAAGATGCTGCTGTGTGCTTTTCTAAATTATTATTTTTTTTTTTCATAGAACTAAAATTACTCATGCTAGAATGTTTACTTAGAGATTACCTCTTATCTTAAAGCACAGCAAAGGCATTTGCATTTAAAGTCTGTGAAACTAATGATTTCATAAAATGTAATTCATGAAAATTGATAGATTGTTCAAGAGCGACGAGAGTACCACAACCGTACTGGTGGCAAATATTTAGAAGAACTCAATGACGAAGATGACGAAACAGTTAGTGACATATACATGCGTAATTAATTTTCAAATTGCTAAGATTGAGTAAAATTAGCTTCATTTTTACAACCATCATCGAAACTTTATTGCAGGTGGCAAAAAAAGGTTAGCAATGCTTGATCTTTTATTACTATCAGAGCGAAATGGTTTAATTGATGATGCAGGAATCAAAGAAGAAGTTGACACTTTTACATTTGAAGTAACATTTGAATCATACATGCAGATTGTACATTATAAATCATATTATAATGATTCAACCTTTTTTTCATATACATCAACAATCGATCAACTGGAAACGTCAAATTAAAAAATTAGGGCCATGACACCACAGCAATGGCAATGATGTTTATTTTAATGTTGATGGCTGAAAATCAAGAATGTCAGGTAAAAAATATGGTGATGATACATATTGTTATACAAATGCATGTAAATGAAAAGATCATTTACTTACAGGATAAAGCTAGAATGGAGGTATCCGAAGTCGCGGATAGAAACGGTGGACGACTAGGTTTCAATCAAATTCAAGAACTACACTACCTTGAACGCTGCATCAAGGAATCCTTGCGATTGTACCCACCAGTAGCGATAATATTTCGTTATTTTTCTGAAGACTTGCAACTGAGTAAGTTGTCTCACTTTGACTGAATTTCGTCCAGAAATTTTAATTTTTCTTCTATGTAATACGACTCCTTATAATATTAACGAAAACTAAATAAATAAAAAATTTCAATAAATTTACTTTTGATTTCCTACAAAAAAATTCTAGAACACGCTCTCGTACCCGAAGACTCGCACGCTATGATTCTCATATACGGTGCCCACATGGATTCAAATTTCTGGAAAGATCCAAACAAATTCGATCCCGACAGATTTCTTGTCGAAAACATGCAGAACCGCCACGCTTTCAGCTACGTGCCATTCAGCGCGGGACCTCGCAACTGCATAGGTACCATTCTTGGCCATTTTCTCAGATTAAACATCCAAGTAAATTATGAAAATATTGCAGGCCAACGATTCGCCATGAACGAGCTGAAATCCTTGATAGGAAGAATCTTGTACAATTTTCGCTTGGAACCAGTCACCAAATTGGCAGACATGCAACTGACAGCCGACTTGATACTTCGGCCGGCTGAGCCTGTTTACGTAAAGTTCATACAAATAGAGAAAAAAAAATAAACCGTAAGCATCCAAGAACTAGATCATTTTACTTAACATAAGACTATTTTGTATACTGATTTGTTATTTTAATAAAACTTAAAAATACGAGATACAAGCAAGCTTATGACGTTGATAAAATGCAAAAAGCCCAGACCATCAGCCACAGCGTTTTGAAACATTAAAGCCCCTACAGCAGTAGCCCCCCAACGGATCGATGAGCCACTCGGGCACTTCAGTTTCCATCAAAGACACGAGTCCCCCGTGAATCGTCGTTGTCACCCCTGCACAACGCAAAAGACTTCTCACTCACACAAGAGCCCCGTACACGCGTAATTGCAACCCCATCATCCATGTGCGATTTGAGCTGAAATAACGTACATCTTTTTATTTTTAGTTAAAGTATTCGCGACAGGAAACTGAAGGGTGGAAGCGCGAGAGCTTCCGTGTAGCCGATAACAGGTACACGAATGGGGTGGGATCGTTGGTGCAAGCTCGAATAGATGGCGCCACCAAGCTTACAGGGTGGTGTCCTTACCCCTTGCGAGCTTTCAACTCGGAGCTCCCGTACCTACGAAAAAATAGCTCAGCGAATCGTTTTCTTTAATTTTTGCTGTAATCAAATCCACTGGGGTTGTGTCTGAGCTTCGAAATTTCGTTTTCACCCGAAATTCACGAGGGTAAAGTAGAAAAAACAAGCGCAAGCATTTCACGCGATTTTGTAGCCTTCATTTTTTTTTTCGCCCGCGGAGCTTTACATTTGCCCCCGAGAACTACAAGGGCCCCTCGACGAAGGGTTGGTCCATATACACCCTTAAGAGAGTCGCCGTTGCGCTCTCCTGGTCCATAAAGTTCACTCTCGTTCTCGCCCTCCCGCAGCCACTCCAGCGCTAGCCGTTCGAATCACTTTTTCTTTTAGCAACGCTCCTTCCTTCGCTCTGCGTCTCCCCCACGCTAGTCAAGAAGACGCGGGAGTTACTTGCACCCTCCTCTCTCTCTCTCTCGGGTATCAATAGGAATGCCGTTTGAAGGCTCGCTCGCTTCCGTAAGAAACTGCTAATAGACCGGTCGTTTCTTGTTCGCTCGTTTCTTTTTAGCCAAGAATTTTTTTTTTTTCTTTTTCTTTTCGCGCGTTCCAACGCTAAAAGTACATCTGCACGAGAGTTAATGCAAAAAAAAAGTATTTTGTTTCCACTACCCTCTCGCCCCGCCCTCGACGTGTACCCTCTTTGCAGCGTTTGAATGACCATGTTCCCTCTACCGCTCCCCCATTGGCATCGAGGACCTTTCAGTATGGAACTCGATTGATGTTTTTTTTTCTTCCTTCTGACTCGATTGAAAACCTTATTTTTCAACAAAAATTTAAAGGAGAGCGCTCACACTGCTGTTTGTGATAAACGAGCCACTCCTCCGTCCGTGAGGCTGAATTATCATACCAGTGCCAGCAACTCGATAAATTTTCTAATTCCACTCGAGGGAAGCCCTCGATTCAGCAAAAATCCCCGGGCCACTCCGGATCCATGATTCTTCCTCCTTCACGAGGAGCTCGGCGCAGCAGTTTACCAAAAACTTCAGCTCCAGCCCCGGCGTAAGCCTACTCCACGTGCCACCCCCCCCCCACCCCCCGGATGGGCTATTACCAGTAGATGTATAGACGTACATCGAAGATGGTGGAGGCGTTACAGTGGAAGCCTTCGTTACACGTGCGCGTATACCTACCCTCGGTCGGGCTTTATTTTAACAGCGTGTCTTGCTCGATACGCCGGATAATCCCCAGCAATACGCACGTCCCACGGAATATTCTTCTTTTTCTTCCGATCTCCTTCCGTTTTTTTCCAACCCCCGTAGCCTGCGTTTTCTTACCCCCAATCTCGTATCGGAATCTCGAGTAGACGCGTGTACTAGATACACACGAGACACCGTACAAGAGGGTTAGCCACTGGCATGTAACGAGAATGTCTTTTCTAAGGGGGGAAAAGGGGAGGACAGGGCGACATGCAGAGTCTTAGCGGCAGGCCGAGTCCTCTCAACTGCGCCGAGGTACAAATTCATTCTCTCTCTCTCTCTCTCTCTCTCTCTCTCTCGCAAGGAGATCGATCGATGGGGATGTACCATGCTTTTACGAGGCTCCGAATAAATCTTCAATTAAGGGCCAACGAGCGGCTAATTCTCTGGGCTTCCTGGGAGGGTTGGCTCCCCGCCTTGAATTGTGGATTTTTGCGCCATCAATACGCACGATAGCTCTGTTATATTGTTTATAAGACTTTCTTGAATACAATATCCACCAACTGGTATATTTACTTGAATTATTTGTACTTGGAGGGTAAAATGCTTCATTATATATCACCTCAAAAGAAGTTATCTCTTTTATAGTGTTTTCACCTGAGTAAGGATAATGTGGAGAAGTCTTACCACTCTAGTTGCTTCATGTATAATACTCCGTTTTGTAATCTCAAATAAAAAAAAAGTGTCAATACTGCATTGAAAGAATGGTTGTTATTATTGTTCTACCCATCTGAATAATACACATTTTCATATACACAGCGCGTAAGAGAAGAAACAAATGAGAAGTCTGACATGGCAGGTCCAATGCGCAAGAAATAAAGGAAAAAAAGTCGGTATAAGCTTGGCAGTGATATTAAAGACAAATCAAAGAAGAGAAATAAGCCTTTCAAAGGGGGAGGGGAGGAAAAAGAAGAGGGAGAATAAAGGAAGACGTCGGATTGAGAAGTTGGGGGAGAAAGTGAGAGACGTCCCGGTTGGTGTATGGAAAGGGAGGGTACACAGGGACTCGACGTCGGCTCCGTACGACACGGAACATATCCCTTACGATTTCCTTTATTGCCTCGAACAACGACGACGGCGCGTCTCGTGCGTCGAGCTTCGTAGGAATCGTCGTTTCTGTTCCGTGACAAGCTTTACTGGGTCATTTTGCTGGACGCGGTGTATCTCCTGCCCCGTCATTTCGGGGCGATTGAAGCACAGCTAAATTAGCAAGATTCTCTCGGCCTACTTCTTTGGTTTTACGGCTCGAATAAAACGCGAAAAGTTTCAAATGCTCAACTTTGATCTTAAAATATTATCACAAAGTTATTAGCAGAGAAAGATACTATTTCTTATGATGATTCAAAGATGTTTTCAGGGTTGACGGTTGAAAAAAAAAAAAAAACCATAATTGTATGCAAACGTACGGAAGAGAATACGTATACGTTGGCAAGTGAAGCGGGAATTAATTTTCACATTGACGTGAGCCATAATAATCAATATGAATTAATTTCAGTCCGCAGCCGTAACCGTAGCAAAAACAGCTTAGCGAATCATAGGGTAGCTTTCATGAATAAATAAAGCTCAACACGGGCGCATATGGCTATGAATACGTAACAACCCCACCGCTTTGTCTCGATGCGATGCCAATATTACGAGGAACTCGGTTAACGGGGCGCCATTAATTCAAATACCAATCAATCGCGTTTGTCGCATGCTGATTTTGCGGCTTCTATTGTTAATTGATATTTGATTCGACCCTCGTTGTCATTAATATCGGATCGACTGCATAAATATTATGTTACCCGTGCTAATTTATGCAGCCCAGCTAGATGCCCAAATGCCAAATCAATTCTTGCCTAATATTTCAATAGTAGAGTAAAAAATTGTGACATCGAAGGGTAAGCTGTTCATGAGACCACCGGAGTAGCAAAGTTTTCTCGCTCATTACATCCGCCACACACGACTGATACAATTTAATAAGGGCCGTCGCGAAAACACATCGTGATACGTGAGCTTTTATTTGTCTGCCCCGAGACGTGCCGTATATATACACGAGCAGACAAAACCCCAAGACAAGGATGAAAGAGGGGGGTGGGGGCAAAAAATGGAGCGAGAACGTGGCGAAGGAGGCTGGGGAACCACATCGGTCTCTGCGCGCTCGCGTCCCTGCCTTGAGATAGAAAAACAATATTGTTGTTTCATCGCCGAGTCCCGGCACGTCGCGCGAAAGTGACGCCCCTCCTCGGTGCCGGGAACACACAAATTGGATTATGCTTGCCAAAGCCGCGGTGGCAGTTCCCGTGGGTCGCTCGCTTCCTCGTCCTCCTTTTACTACCCTATATCTGCGGGTGGTGGAAGCCCGGGAAAAGGTATGGGCTTATAGAGGACGCGCTGGGACGGGAAAGATGAGAGTCGAGAACGAGGCTTGGTGACAGACTAGGGTAGGGTTTAGCGGTTGCGGCAAGGGTGGACAGGTAGCTGGACGTGTGGGTCTTTTTACAATACGCGTTTTTGAAACGTATTCTTGGTCACGGGATCGGGAGAAATGTGATATGTGTTGTTGGAATATGGTTGAACTTGAAAATGAGTTTTTGGAAAGTCTGAGGTGTAGGAATTGTTGATGATTCTTAGGGGGTTGAAATAAAGAGGAGCCAAGTGCGTTGAAGAACTTACCTGTATTCGTTGTTTTGGACAGGAGTTTCATTAAACCTGTTCTCGGAGTTCTTTCTAATCTGGAAAAATCACTGAGCCAATGGAAAAATATGGAAGGAACGATATAACAAAGGTGTCGTATGCTGAACGATAAAGAAAATCCAGTTAGAAGGATCGCAATAGTGTTCTAAGCCATCTAGTCTATTTTGGTCCCTGATGTGTTGGCTGCTGGTGGATAAAGAAGAGAATGAAGGAAGAGAATGATGGATTGATGTTCCTAATGTGTGGGACAGTAGTCAATATGTGAGTTAACGCTTCCGTGGCAAATGAAACTTTTTTTCCTTGCGTGGCTAGAAAGAGGAGAAAATGGGACAGATAAAAGTGTCAAGAAGCGGCTGCTCAATTTTGTGTGATCACTTTGCACCTTTGCTTCCGTCTTTTTCGTCCCTCCAGTCTTTTTGATGGCTTGGTGTGATGTCGTCTCGGTGTGTCGAGAATTTTGATCGAAAGCCTAGTGTGGTACAGTGTGTCTTGAATAAATTTTGTTATTATTTGTCAATCGTTTTTTCTTTTCGTTTTTACAAAGAAAACCCGTAATCAAG